CCCACCGAGGGGCTGTGCACCAGGCAATGGGACAGCCACATGCTTGCTCGGTCACCAGGGACATGCCACCAGTCAGGTAAGGGGACAGAAGCATCCTGGTCCCCCTCCTCCACAAGGCAGCTCAATGGATCAAATGATGGAGTCTCCCAGGCTCACAGAGCACTCTGCAGGGCACGGGGCAGGAGGCAGCCCGTCTTCCCGTGACACCTGCTGCCCTGCCTAAGGAGGGCATGGATGGACAGACGGACCACGTGGGCACCTCTCACCTTGGCACTCAAACTTCTTGGCGGGGGTGGTGAGCAGCAGCTTGCCTTCCATGTCAGGGGGCCCAGCGCAGCGGGCGATGCCTGGCTCCTTGTACCCTGTCTTGACCCAGCTGGAGAGCCAGCGCAGGTTGCAGCTGCAGTACAGGGGGTTGGCCCCAATGGCTCTGCAGGGGAAGCAAAGGCAAAACTGTACCCTCAGCAGGGAACTGAGCTCAGAGACCTTGGGACAGGACGGGACTTGGTCACTTGGCTGGGCTTGGGGGGACCTGGTGCTCCTCCATTTCCAGACCAACCAGAGATACTGCCTGCAGTGGGAGCACTGGGATGCACTCACAGCCCCGCACTGCTGCCCAGTTAGATGACCCTCCTGCCAGCCCCGCAGCCCATGCAGTGCCCCGTGGCTCCGTGCTGGGGCTCTCCTCTGGCTGCCTGCACAGAAATCCTCGGGGGTCCCTCTGCAGCACTCAGGCAAAGCTGCCTGAGACCAGTGCAAACTGGGCAAAGCACCTTGAGGCTGTACAGAAACAACAGGAGCATTGCACAGGAGCTGTGGGGCCAGCCTGGGCTCTGCTGCACAAGCCTGCAGGGCAGGGACACGGGAGCGGGCTGCTGGGGACGAGCAGCGGGTCACGGCCGGAGCTCATGAGGACAGCATCAGGGAACAGCAAGGAATTGCTCCGGAGGAGGAAGGAAGAGGGAGGGTTTCTCTGCTCCACAGCAGAGCAGGGCAGGGAGCAGCGGATGACGTAGGAGAGCGGTTGGATGCCTCTGCATCCTCCTTCCCTGCAAAGGTCAGCAGTGATGGAGGGCTGGCATGACTGCCACCCATGACGAAAGGAGACGGCAGCCCAGGAGGCAGGCGGTAGGGACAGCAGATCCGCTGGGGCTGATGAGCCTGGTCCTACAGCACCGACAGCGCCGGCTGGTGACAGCTCAGCCCTGCAGGAACCGGCAGCGCCGGCTGGCAGCGGCAAAGGCAGCACCGCGCTCCGGCAAGGGAAATCAGTGAAGAGCCAGGGAAGACCAGACCAAGCAGTGCTGCTCCCAAAAAACATAGGGAGGCCTGGACTGGAAATCAAGATGGTCTCTGCAGGCTGGAGGAACAGCCTGAGACCCCCAGGATGCCAGGAGCAGGACTGGCCACTGGCAGGAGGGTGGGAACAGCTTAGCAGGGGCAGGGAAGGGACCAGAAAGTCACTGTGAGCAAAGCTGAACCCCCGCCCCGGGCAGTGGGTAGGGGGCTATGCTCCTGGGGTACAGGATCCCTCAAAGAGGGGCTGAAATACTGCCACTGGCAGGAGGATGCTTGATGACAGATCTGGGGGGCTGCTGCCTGGCAGCAGGCTAACAACACACTGGCATGGGTCAGAGCAGCCCCCGCAACCCGCGGCCGTGCCGGCACCTTGCACGGCTTGACCTGCGTGTTAGGGGACCCTGGGGACGTGGCAGGGTTGGGGAGGACCCCCTACCACCTCCAGCAAGGACCACGGGGCCATCCCAGCAGCACTGGGAGGCTCAGCTGCATGCCCAGACCTGGGGGCTGAGCACGGGGAGGGCAGGCACGGCACTGCACTGCCCCACAATGCTGTCCCAAGTACTGGCCCAGAGAAGAGGGGAGGCAGCTCAGCCCCCAGAGAAGCTGGGCTCAGCCTCATGGTTTTTAAAGGTCTCCTGAGCCTGCGTGCAGCCCTGCAGAGCAGGAGATACTTACAGGTGGGACAAGGAGGTGACATCTGCGAAGATGCCCTCAGGGAGGCTGGAGATGTCATTGCCGTGGAGAGACCTGCAGAGAACAGAGGGTCCTGTGATCCCTGTGGCTCCAGGGTGGGCAGCAAGGACTGTGACAGCTGGGCTGCCCCCACCCCATGGGTCCAGGTGTGGGTGGAAGAGCCAGACCCCACCACATAGTCACTGTTGCAAATGCACGATCTGCTCCAAGATGCTGATGCATCTCCCCTTGCTCCTCCTGCAAGCCTGCACCCTGCTCACCTGCCCACACCTGCCTCCATGCGGGCACAGGGGACACAGGGACACAGCCAGCAGCAGAGAAGAGGCCGAGCGGGGCTGTGAGCAGGGCTACGGGCAGGTACTTACAGCAGCCGGAGGGAGCGGAGGCCCTCGAAGGCCAGTGGAGGGATGCACTGCAGGGAGTTGTAGCTGAGGATCCTGTGGACGGGAAAGAGCAGGTAACACTGCGCCATGGGCACCGCCGTGGGCACCGCCGCACGCTCCCCCCAGCCACCTCCTGCCACCCCACGCCAGCTCCAGCTCAAACCACAGCTTCACCCGGGCGGAGGGGGAAGACCCTGGTGTCCCCAGTAACCCCCATCTTCGGGGGTCCCTAGGAACAACACCGCAGGGACCGCACTTACAGGGTGGTGAGCTGGCTCATGTTGGTGAAGGAGGAGTTGCTCAGGGAGCTGATCTTGTTGTTGCTCAGATCGCTGGAAAACAGAAACCCCAAGGGTTGGAGCCAGCTGGGCCCCGTCCCCCCTCACTGCTCCCCCACCTGCTCAGCTGCAAGGGGGTGCGAACGGCAGCATGGCACGGCCTCCAAGGCAGCAGCAGGGCTGTCACACAGGGTGCTGGCAGCGATGCCACTGCCACCCCTCCACCCAGCCCCAGCAGAGGCTGTGAGCACCCAGGGGCTGAGCATCGCTGCCAGCTAGCTGTGTCCTGGTGCAGAGTGGGGACACAGGGGGCCGTCGGGGGTCCCTGCACGCCATCAGACCCCTCCTTGGGATCAGACACCACAGGGACAGCCCCTGTCCTCGCCCACAGGTGCCAGCAGTGGGACCAGCTGCTGGGCTCCTGCTCCTGGCTACTTACACAAGCTGCAGGTACTTGAAGGTAGAGAGCTGCCCTGGGACCTGAGTGAACTGGTTTCCGTCCAGGTAGCTGCAAGGGAGAACGAAAGCACCTCAGGGTGGTGAAGAAGCAGGAGGTCCCTCTCTGCCCTCCCGTTTCTCCCATGCAGACACCCTTATGGACTTTGGGCTGCGAGGAGCACCTCCAGCGTCACCTCCCTCCTGGTACCCAGGGCCTGTAGGGCTCTTAGGGGACCCCTGGGCTGGCGCGGGAGCTGGCATGCAAGCGCATTAGCACGCCTAGGGGCTCTGCGCACGGGTCCCCAGGGGCAGTCTCCCAGCAGCCTACGTGTGCGAGCGCAGCCAGCCATGTACTGCATTTACACATCCGATGTGAGCGTGGGCAGCCATAACCATTCCCAAGGCATGTGTGAGAGACAGCAGAGGATGTGGAGAGAGAAGGGGTGTGCGAGACAGTGCAGGGGTGTGAGGGGGTGGTATACATATGCATGTGCACAACCAGTGCCTACACCCCCTGCACACGGGTCTTGCTGCATCCCAGATGGGTGCAGAGCCCAGGGTGCAACGCGCATCACGATCCCTGCACATCCAGACCTGGCACGGCTGCCTGGGTATCTCCCTGACACCCACACTGATGGGTGGCTGACCCCAGGCAAATTGCATCCCTGTGTGCTCAGAGCCAGCGTTGTCAAGAGCATCCCCTCAGCCACAGGGAGAGGTGACGACAGAGAGAAGCCAGGGAACTGGCAGAGGCAGGGTGGCCCCATCCCTGTCCCTGATGGCAGGCTGCTGGGGACTGCAGAGCCCTGGGCTTCACGGCTGCGTGGGAACCGCAGCTGCAGCGGGTGGCTGTCCCGCGCTGCCCCCTCCCAAGAGCCAAAAAGAAGGGACCTGGCTGCTGCCATAACACCCCTTGCACATTGCTTTTGGTAGCCCTGAGTCAGCAGAGAGGCTCTCGCTGAGCACCTCACTGGGATTGGGGCTGGACAGGGTTCCTTGGCTGGGTGAGGGCCCCGCTCCCACTACCGAGCCAGGATGGGGCTGTGGGAGGGATCATCTCTGCCCCAACACCCGCAACCCCACAGCAGAGACCCCCCACCCAGAGCCACGACATCTCTGGAGATCAGGGGGAGAGCCCGGGCAGTCGCCCAGCACTCACAGCTCCGTGACGTTCTTGGGGATCCCTTTGGGCAGGGCCTTGAGGTGCTTGTTGCTGCAGCGGACGACAGTATCGAGGCAGGTGCACTCCTGTGGGCACTGGGGCCGGGGGATGCAGCTGGTCTCCTCCTGACCTGCACCGGGCACAGAGCGCCATAAAGTCACCGGTGCCCAGCCTTTGTGCACCACGTGAGGCTGGACGTGGTGCCTTGTGCCCGCCTAGGACGGCTCCCCTCCCATGCCGACCAGCTCTCCTTGCTCCCACAGCAGGGTGCTGCTTGCGGGGAACAGCCCCAGCCTGGCTGAGAGTCAGCGGTGCAGGAATCGCTCCTGCACCCAGAAACCACCCACCCCACCAGGATGGATGCAGCCAGCCAGCTCAAGGCTGCTCTGATTTGCACCATTTTCAAGCAACAATGCAGTCCCAGGAACGGCAGAGAGCAGGGCACAGAGGAAGGGGCTCAGCCCTGCAAATCCTCCTGAAATGACCTTCACCCATCTCCCAGACACCGGCTAGAGGGAGAGGTGCCTGCGCCGAGCAGCCGGAGGAGCCAGCATTGCTCCACCTTCCCCGCTGCGGCGCTGGGCTCCTGAGCGAGAGGCGTCCCCGGGACGACCGTATGTTATCTCGCACCACTAGGAAAGGTGCAGGATGCAACCCTTCAGTCTTTGACGTGGTGGAGGAGGGAAAGCAGAAGAAATGATGATTTGTTTGTAAATATTTTCCAGAGGGCTCAAAAAGCTGTTCTAAATTAAAAAAATAAATTTAAAAAGGCTTCTCTCTCAACACACGCACTCTCCGCCTGCTCCGTCTGCCCAGCTCCGGCATGTGTGCAGGGCTGGGAGGGGAAGAGAGAGAAGGAGCAGGATAATCCCAGTGGGCTTTGCCTACACATCTGCTCCTGCCAGCACCCATGGCACAGCGCTTGTCAGCAGGGACCTGCCTACGTACAAGGGCCACATGGTTCAGTGGGTGCAAACTCCTCTCCCAGCTTCAGAGCAGCCCATGGGTATTTGCGTGCAGCCCTAAGGGCTGGGCACCAGGAAAGGAAATGTGTGCATCATTAGGGGAGGGTGTGAATGGGCTGGGGGACCCCTCAAGCTACCAGCTTGCCACGCGGCACTGCCGGACATGCCGGGAGCAGGGGTGGTGCTGGGACGGAGAGCGTGGTGCCAGCCCGGGATGAGCAACTCAGTCCCCCCTTGCCCCCAGCGCCGCGGGGCCCGTGAGTTACCTTCCTCACACCTGAAGTCGGGGAAAGCCACGTCCTGGAGCGGGATCTGCCGGAGGAAGTCGGGGTTTTGGCACCGCGGGTTCCCCGTCACGATCTTCCTCTTGCGCAGCCAGTCCCCCAGCCAGGCCAGCTGGCAGTTGCAGTTGAAGGGGTTGGCGAGCAGGTTCCTGCACACAGGAGGGAGCACGAGGGCATCACCTGAGCAGCCGCCGGGCAAGGGGACCCGCTGCAGCCCCCCACCGCGATAAGGACAGCCTGGGAGCATCCCTGCTGGGGCCCGAGACGTACAGCGTGGAGAGGGACTGCAGCGTGTCGAAGGCGCCCGGTGCGATGGTGCTGATCTGGTTGTCGTACAGGGAGAGCAGGCGGACGTTGCGCAGCCCCGTGAAGCTGTCGTTGTGGATGCAGCTGATGCGGTTGTTCCTCAGCATCCTGCAGAGGGAAGGGGACAAGGGCACCTAATGAACCAGGCGGGCGCCACAGGGGAAACCCACCTCAGTAGTGCCCAGGCGGTGCCCACCTCGCTGCCAGGCAGCAGGATGAGCCTGAGCCAGTCCCTGAGCAGCAAAAACCTGCCTGCCCCAGCTCTAGATATGGCCAGAGGATGGGCAAGGTGCTCCTGAGCTGGCCCCGCAGTGATGCAGACAGCACCAGCCCAGCAGCGTGGGCAGGGCAGGGGAGCAAGGAGCAGGGACGTCCCCATCCCTGTGCCCGCGGCGAATGGGGGACTCACAGGGTCCTCAGCCCGTCCAGGCCCCTGAACATGCCGCTCCGCACTGACTCCAGCTGGTTGACGGTGAGGTGCAGCTCGCTGACGGAGGATGCCCCCTCGAACACCCCGTCCTCAATCTCTGACACCTTGTTGTTGCTGAGGTTGCTGCGGAGAGGGGAAAGCAGGCTGGGATGGGGGGCTCTGCCCCGACCTCATCCTGAACCCTGCCTCCCCCAGATCCCACCGAGCACCCCATGACACCCAGTCCCTCGGGGAACCCTCGGGTCAGGATATGTCCCTCATTTCACATCCCAGGCTGCCCTGACATCAGGACCCCCATGTGCCTTCCCAGCTCCTGGGCACTCCTGACGGGGCTGTGCCTGCCCAATACTCACATTTTCTTCAGATGCGGGAGTTTTTTGAAGATGCCGGTGGCCTCCAGGATGGAGATTTCGTTGTTGTTCAGGCGCCTGGGGTGGGTGGCAGGGAAAAGAGCTCAGGAGATGGCTGCAAAGGGCCTGGCACAAACCAAACCCTGAGCCAAATCCCAGCGCCGGTGATGCTCCAGTTGCAGGAGGGAAAGTGAGGTGGGAGGGAGGAGGCTCTTACAGCTCAGCCGTGGACTGTGGGATGCGCTCCGGGATCTTGGTGAGCTTCAGGTTGGAGCACTCAACCACGCTGGATTCGCAGCGGCACTTCGGGGGGCAGATCACGTCGCTGTTGCACTCGCTGTTCAGCTGGTAATCCTCTGTCCCTGCACACCGGCGAGGGCCAAGTGGGGTCCCACGGGCAAAGGCACGGGGGGGCTGTGCCTGCCCTCCCCTCCTCTGTTCCTCCCACACCCCCAGCTGGTCTCGGTCTCTTCCTCACCTGCTCCTATCCCAGCCGCATTACCCCTCTGAGTGCCCAAACCAGCTTATCTGCAGGGACATTTGTCCTGGCTACATGGGAAGCTGTGCTGCCCACCACCCTCTCCCCTCCTGCAACCAGAGCCAGGGACACCTCTGTGTGCATCCGGATAACAGCACGATGGGAGATGCTGAAACACATCCCCGTACCCAGTGCTTTTGTTACCACAGCACCTGGGAACTCAGCAACCAGAAACGATGGGAAATGCAGCACGGTCCTGCCGGGCCAGACCACGGGGCTCTGGCACAACCACCTCCGCAGGCAGCCTGGTCGAAAAGGCACCGCGCACACACCCACGCGCACACAGGTGCGGCTCTTCCTCTTACCTGGGATGAAATACTGCTCTTTGGCTGCGGACAAAAAAGCACATCAGCGCCCTGAGCACACAGACACTAGGCTGGGGCAGAGCTGAGGACAGCCGTGCCACAGGGCGCCCATGACGGGGATGGGGACAGGGACAGCTCTCACCCGAGCAGCGAAACTTCTTGCTCTTGATTTGGCCAATGCGCTTGTTGGCCAGGCGCCGGGGGCTGGCACAGCGGGCGCCGCTGGTCTCGATGGGGTTGGCGCGGAGGAAATCTGCCAGCCACTTCAGGTTGCAGTCACAGACGAAGGGGTTCTGGGCCAGGTGCCTGCACCAGGGTGGGGGCAGCGGGTGACCGCCAGCGCCAGCCCCGGCTACACACCGAGGTGCTTCCCCCCATGTGCCTGCCCAACTGGGCATCGGAGCTGGCACAGGCACTCACAGGGTCTGGATGGCCCGCAGGGAGGTGAAGGTGCCCTTGGCCAAGCTCTGGATCTTGTTGTCATAGAGCGAGAGCAGCGAGAGGTTCTGCAGGTCCTGGAAGGTGTCTGCCCGCACGCAGTTGATCTTGTTGGCGTTGAGGAGCCTGGCAGGGAGGGAGGGAGGGAGGGAGGTGATGCTGGGGACCCCCTTCACTGCACCACAGGTGTTGGAGATCTCAGCCCCACTTCCCGGTGTCCCTGCAGAGCGTCCCACCCAGCCATCAGCGCCTTACAGCAGCTGCAGGGCGAAAAGTCCCCCGAAGACGCCCTTGGGGAGTTCTGTGATCTTGTTGCCATACAGCACCCTAGAAGAGGAAGGCTGGTGTGAGAGGGATGCGGGCAGCGGTGTGGGGCACGGTTCAGCGGGCACAGCATCCGCCCCACCTCACCCCACACACCCTAGTGTGGGCACTTACAGGGAGTTCAGTGAGCGCAGTCCCTGGAAGGCGTCGGGGGCAATCTCTGAGATCTGGTTGTTGCTCAGGTCTCTGAAACCCAAAGGGAGAAGGTGGCCTGGACCCCTCTTCTCCTGCCCCATGCCCCCATCCTCCTGCTGGGCCCAGGGGACCACCCCAGCACCATACAGAGCTGGGGGCATCTGAGACCCCATCCCAGTGGTGCCATGTGGGGCACCCATGTCACAGCGAGTGCCTCAGGCCCGTCGGAGTGGGGGGCTGCGGGCTCACGGCAGTGGACAGCGGGGTGAAGGGTGCTGGGGTTCAGGGTGAGCTGGTAGGGGCTGCACACTTACATCCTCCGCAGCTTCTTGTAGGGGGAGAAGGCGCCTGGGGGGATGGACTTGATGCCATTGAGCTCCAGGCGTCTGCAAAGAAAAGGGGGAGAGATGAGGGCTGTAGGGCTGGCCAAGCCCAGCACCCCATTGACAGGGCTGGGAGGCTGCAAGACCCCGAGGCTTGCAGTAAGTTACCCCACCGGAGTGGCACCTGTCACCCCAGGGACAACTCGCAGCCTGCGGTCGGGGCTTTCTCCATCAGGGAGGGGTGCCATGGGTGGGGGACCATGCTGGCTGGGGTGGGGGGAGCACCTCCTCCCCCCCAGCACCCTGGCTCTGGGGGTGCCTGCTGCTTCCCATGTACTCTGTGTGCCGTCCCAGCGGGGGCTTTGCTCCATAATTGGATTCCCCTAAGGAGATTATTCCTCTATTTACATTTTTAATGCAGCTAAATCCAGGACTAAATCTGGGCAGCATGGGAGAAGAGCAATGGGAGAAGCCCCATGAGGTGTCTGAGCTGTAGGGCTTGCCCCCGTGTCCCCACTGCCTCGAGCCACCCAGAGCCCGGCAGTGACAGCGTGGGGCCATACTCACATCTCCGTCATGGTTTCGGGCAGGTTGGCAGGGATGGCCGTCAGCCCCTTGCCCCGACAGTCCACAATGCCATTGCTGCAAGTGCACATGGCCGGGCAGGAGCCAGAGGACAAGCTGCAGAGCTGGGCACGTGCCGGGTCCATTTGTCCTGCCGGGGAAGCAGCCAGCATGGGAATCACAAAGAGCTGGGCCAGGCGGGTGGATGGCAGCACCCCAAGGAAGGGACCCCGGTGACAGCTTGGCGTGCTGGGACAGCTTGTGGAACCCCTCAGTGGGTGCACAAGGTCCTGGTGCACCCCAACCCCGTGCAAAAGGCACGCAGCTCCAAGGGCACAGACTGATGCACCCTTTGTCACACGGATAGGGTGGTGGTGTCCCCATGTTGTCCCTGCACCAGGGACGGTGCTGACCTGAGCCGAGCCCGCGGCGTGCATCCAGGCTCTGAGCTGGGGCACGCAGCAGGGAGCGGAGGTGGGTGCATCGATGGGACAGGCTTTGTCCCCCCAACCCGTGTCCCTGCCCTGGCACCCACCACCTCCCCCATCCCCCTCACCAGAGCAGCTGAACTCATTCTTCTGTATCTCGGCCACGTTGAGGCCGCGGAGCTGGGCTGGAGCGGCACACTGGGTGAAGAGCCCAATGGTGGGGCGCTGGCGCAGCCACTGCGAGAGCCAGGCCAGGTGGCAGTCACAGAAGAGGTGGTTGGAGTGCAGGCGGCTGCGGACGGACGGGGCAGGCAGCAGCCACGGGGAGACGCCTGGCGCCTCCTGCCCACCCCCCTGCCCTCCTGCTGCCCCAGCCTGGCTCATCCCAAAGGTCGGGGGCATACAGAGGGGGACACGGAGGAGCCCGAGAGCATCTGTCCTGGCTACCAAGGCCACCTTGCTTGTCAGCGCTTGGGGATGCTCTGCAGGGGTGTCCTCTCCATCCCCTCCCCACAGTGCTGTCCCAGCACTGCCGAGCTGCTGGCACTGGCAGCAGAGCTGGGGACATCCCACTCCAGCCCAGGGGGTCCCTCCCACTGTCACAGCCCCGGCACTCACAATGTCCGCAGCTTGGGCATGTGGTTGAAGCTGGACACAGGGATGGAAGTGATATTGTTGTTATTCAGGGTCCTGCGGGAAGGCAGAAGGGGGCAGGTCAGGGTGGCCAGGCCATAAATAGGAGCATCAGATGGTGCAGGTGGCACCAAACCCCTGGGAGCAACAGCACCCACCCCCCTAAGCACAGGGTGGATGGATGGAGAGGGCTTGCTGCCCTTTCCAGGCTTCTCCCCTCCACAGCCAGCTGCAGGAAGGTGGACCCCCTGGGGCAGGATGAGGCCCTGGAGCACAGCCCCACAGGAGTGGTACCAGACCCCTGCTCAGCTCCTCCTTGGGGCCAGGCAGAGATGGCACGCTGGGGATGTCCCTGCAGCACCTCGGTGAGCAGGGAGAACCCAGGGACACCCTCACCCTGCATGGGGCTTGTGGGCTGGAGGCTCCAGCCGGTCCCTGGCCACTTACAGGACCTCCAGTCCCCGCAGGGCACGGAAAGCCCCATCCTCGATGCAGCTGATCTGGTTCTTGTCCAGTTGCCTGCAGGAGAAAGACGGAGGAAGCGTTGCTGGGACATCCCAGGCAGAGAGCCACCAGTGGCTCCTGATGCCTCCTGCCACCAGATCCGACCCCAAATTCCCCCATGCCACCCATGTCCGTCCCTGCCAGGACTCACAGGTTCTTGAGGTCAGTGGCCCCACGGAAAGCTTTCCTGGGGATGGCCTGGATGAAGTTCTCGCTCAGGTCCCTGCAGAAGAAAAAGACAGGAAGGAAAATGAGCAGTGCCTGCAAAACATGATGCCCCATGGGACCAGGGCATCCACAGGCAGGGGCATGCCCCAGCACTCAGTGATCCCCGAGGGGCTCTGGGAAACTGTAATTTGGCTTCAGGTCCTTGGTTGCCCACTGCCCTGCTGTCTGTCCTGAGGCAAGGTCGGCTCCATCCATGGTGGCTGCAAGTGGCTGGGGCTCCCTGGGCACCACTGTCCCCAGCTCTGACAAGCAGAGCAGCAGGGCACAGCTCTGGGAAAACCCTCTATACTTAAATACCCTGTGACTGCTATAATTACAGGTCCCTGCTGATTAACTGGTAATTACACTTAGTGGCTCCAGCAGGCATTCCCATGGAGCCTGCCCCGCACTTTAGAGGGCACAAATAATCGGGTCATTAATTACTTCATCACTACACAGCACCATCCGTGTAATCACCCACTCTGCAGTGCCGGGGCATGCCGGGTCAGCACGGGCTCTGCGTCTGCAGGGCTGGCAGCGGGTCAGATCCCCCGCTGTGCCTGGACTGGCTTTTAACAACCATGAAGGCCAAAAAATCTCACTGCAAAGTAAGGTCTGGGTGGACTGGCTCAGCCTACCCCATCCTCAGGGGGACCTCCCTATCGTATTTGTGTCCCATGGCTCCCGTGCTGCCGTTCCCTCTCCCACCCCAAAAGCCAGGAGCAACTCCAAGCTCGGCAGGCACCTGCATTGCCTGCCCCCAGCCCCACGCCAGCTCCAGCCACCCACGGGGCAGGAGGCCAAGTCCCCAGCTCCCTCCTGGCACAGGGAAACTGAGGCACAGCATGGCATTTGTCCTATGCAGCAAGTCCATGGGTGAGTGAGGAGCAGGACCAGGTCATCCCGCATGGATTAAGCACCCCCCAGCATTACACAGGCCACACAGGCACCCCCAGCCCAGCCCTGAGAGGCGGTTTGGGGTGTCCCAGCATTTCACACTCAGTGCTCACCAGCTCTGTTTCAACGTAACGAAGCCTGTTCACTACTGATATCCCAGGGCAATGGGGTTGGGTCAGGATGGAGGCACAGCATCCACACTCCTCCCTGTGCCCCCACTTCCTCCAGAAAATGGGCTCAGCATGGCCCACAAGCTGCTTGCAAAAGACCTGGAGGTCTCCAAATGGGGACTTCACCCCAGCCAAAAGCTTCACTGCCGTGACAGGGAAATGCTCCAGAGGGAAGCACCTGCATTGCTTGCACAGATGAATGAGGAGAAGGAAAACCCAAGGATGGTGGGCTTGCCCAGCCCTCCGGTGAGATGCCCAGCCACCAAAGAGGAGCTGCCATACGGTGTCAGAGCGATGCGTCACTCTGGGTCACTCCTGGGAACCAAACCCGGCTGGCAAAGCACCATTGCTGGGGCAGAGGAAGGGCTCAGGCTCCCGGGAAGGGTAAATCCCGGCTCCCCTGCCAGCAGCCGGGCGCACAGCA